TGGGTGGGGGTGTGCGGCCCGCTTCCCAAAACCCTTACCCAATTTATAACCAAAATCTGCGACATTCCCTACCCTATTTATGACCCGACCAAAAATTCGAAACCCTACTTATGACCTGATCCTTAAATCAAAGCCCTGTTCCAGACTTGCGTTATACTTAGTTTCCTAGTTCAGACCAATGTTAAATTACCGCAAACATAATTTGTGAAGGGTTTTCGTTGATTTTCTTTTCGATAATGATGAAAAAGTGGCTTCTTCTTAACAACTTACCCATATCAAGGCTAGAGTGCAAAAATCATACCCTATTTATGACCAAAATGGCCAAAATCAGCTAAAATCGATACCCTATTTATGACCAAAACGGCTGAAAAATCATACCCTTTGGGGCCGCACATACCTATATAGCCCATATAAGGGAGTAAATCCCTCCCCCCCCCCCCCCGAAGTTCTAAGAGACACAATAAACCACTAAAAAATCACCCTTTTAGACGTGGCCCAAAATATACATGTGGAAACGTATTCCTCATCTAATGCAGGTCATGCAGTCGCACGAGACCCCACGGAAGGGCACAGAATAAATAAACCACAACACTTTGACAGTCTCCTGTCAAATGCTTCAATAAGCCGTAAGCAGCCCATGACACCCGCGAGCTTCTCATTCGTACCGTTAGAATATCAATTTCAAACTAATTCATTGTCACTCAACCGTCAGAAATTACATATTCCAACAGAGAACACGATAACTGAACAACGTTTAAGTTCATTCCAACCACAGGGATTGATAGACCAAAAGCTGTGCGTGATGAATTCCATACTGCAGCATGGAATTCCTGCTGTTAGCGACTAACACTTACATTGAGTGTTTATTTGCTTCTCGTATCGTTCATAGTTGAACTCAAGCACGTTTACAAAAAAAGTTACTGCAGGCTAAAGATCAAGGTAAATTGCTTTTTGTACATAATTTGAGTACTAACTGTAATTAAATATTTCTTAGTATGGTTTCGTTACGAAGGCAAACGTAAATGTGTTTCTTAGAACAGATCATACCTTGCTGTTGATGGCGCCCAAAGAAGAAGCCTTTTGACAATCCTTGTGCCATGAATCGATTAACTCCCAGAACTTCCTCTGGTTTGCGACAAAAGTAACGTTCTGGGGAAGAAGACAAGAAACGAACCGTTTACAAGCGGAGCGCATTTCCGATGACGATGGAAAGTGATTGCGCAGTTCTTTTGATTTTTTCTTCCTGAACTCTATCATTGGTTCATAAAGCTGGTGCAAGTGTTGCAACCGGAGCGACCAATCAGAACAAAGAAGCGATCTTCGCAGGCAATCAGATACAGACTAAAGGAGGGGGGGGGGGGGGGGGGGGATCGTCTACTTGTCACAGCCTCCCGCGGACTATTGATCAGAACGGGAAGCTAGGACCAAGGAATCCTGGTCCATGGAAGTTATAATACTAAAATGACAATCACATTCCACGTAAAAATCTATACATCTTGGTTATTCTTGAGGCAAGCCTGTCGAGACCTCATTACTTGAATGTTCCCCCAACTATGTCCCCAAAGCATTTTCAAAAACCTACCTCTTGTTGTAAGATCTTCATTTTAGCATTTTGCTGTGACAACTTTCCTCGAAGCTAGATAGCAAATGAAAATTGAATGAGAGAAACCAGCATTATTGGTAGCTTATGTTACTTTCCTAGATTTCAAAATTCCCAGTTCCTTCTTCGAACACCCCGTCTCATCTGGCAAACAATCCAAAGACTTGCAATTACCTTGGTATTCTCCTGCTCCAACTGTAATAGACGGGCCTTCATTTCCTCTACATTGCCTAAAAGGACAACGACACTATGTTTATTTACGCTCCAATTTGCAAAACAACGACAACAAACACAACAATGCTAATTTTGAGAGTCCATCGTTATTTTGGTCCTTTGTGAACTTAAAATATTCAACAGGGAATGTTTTTACCTGGCTCCAGATCGCATTGGACCGCTACAGATGTCGTGGATATTTCCCTGAAATGTCAGAAAAAAAGAAAAGAAGTCAAAGGCAAGGAAGCCGATTAACAAACCAACGTGATACTCTAAAGTACCCTATCGTATCAACCGATCGACATTCCGTTTGCTTAAAATGTTATGAAAGTTACCAAATTTTACCAACTAGGTTAAGGTCGATTTAATACCAGCCGCTGTTCGGGAAAGTAGAAATCGATATTATTGAAGTATCCAAGAGGAACGGAGAGGAATGTAGACCGGAATCGAGAGAGCGGCGGAAATCGAACCTAAGCCATGGTGGGACCACTTTCAAATCCTCGCCTGAATTACTATGCAGTAACGATCATGGGATAACTCCTAACTCACGGTCAGCAAATAAATTCGATTCTCATTAACGGTATCTAATCATTTTTGCAGTAATAGATGGGAGGATTAAGGGCCTGTTTATGACCCTCTTGGAAGGATTACCCTTCTAGAAGGGTCAAAATATAGCCCTCTTTTACTTCCTCTTGGTGATTAGCTTTTTAATTCTTATAACTGCATTTCTGACTTTGTATTGATATAGTGAGGGCAAAATGATTGTTTTAACAATTAAGTAATTATATTACTTACTTGTTGTTAAGAGAAGGTGTTGGAGGCTTCGCCTGGCCATGTATAGGAATATACTCCGCCTCACGAAGCTCCTAATACGAAAGCATTGACAATTTGAAATATCAAGCTTGGAAATTTTTGTCTCGAGCGGGGAAGCAGCTGGGCTTAATTACCAGCCGCTGTTCGGGAAAGTAGTTCGCGCTCTTCTTGGGGAGCTAGAGAGGGCCCAGGTAAATCAAGTCTAGAAAGCCGCGAAAACAGTTTGATTAAGACCGCCAGTTTCGGAAGAGATGTTACTAAGAAACATGGCGACATTTAAGCTTTTGGAGCGTTCAAGCACTTTAAAAAATTCAAAAACAATTCTACAAACACGGTACTTGCCCAGAAGAATGATTCTGAAGCGAAGAACGTTTTGAGAATATGTTCTTAACTTAATCAAAGGTAATTCTACTGACATAAAAGTGAACACCCAGGCGGAAAACAAGGCATCATTGAGCTGAATTCTGATCATCAAATATCCTTTGTCAACCTCGAAAGAATTTTTTAAATTTTTGGTGCGAGAAAAAACAACAGCTCTCTCCTGAAGAAATTTTTTGCAAACGCGCACGTCAAAATACCTATTTTTGTGTCCAACTATCATAATTAAGGAGAGCGGATTTACTACAAACCAAACACATACATTTTTCAACCATGCTGGCACATTGCTCTCTGAACTGGAAAGAGAACGACCATAACTGGACGCGCTAGCCTGGGACGGGCTTCTGTTGGAATCGTGTGAGCCACTCGACTCAATGGAAATGTACTCCGCTTGGTCAAGTTCCTGTGGGGGAAGGAGAGAAAGGGATGTTTACAGAAGTAAGAAAGAAGTATTCAAATTGTCAAGTACCAGCAATAGGTTACAGAAACTCTAGAAAATGTTGAAACATTTTCTCAATGTCCAGACGTCAAAGGCCTTACTTCGTTGATGGTGGACCTTGAAAAGTAAAGCCTATATATTCAGGTTCCCATTTCGTCATCGATCTCAATTTCCTCGAATCTTAAACATCGCTGACTCTTCTTAGTTAGTTATTTTTCTATCTTGGCAACCCATTATTTTGAGACTTTCATCTATCTGAAGGTAACTTTACACGTTACAAAAACAACTTCATATGAAGAAGGCGAGAAATGGGTGCTTCAAAAATTCCCTTTTAAAAGTACAAAAATAAAAGCACAGTTACGTCTTGAAGCCAAGCTGGTGCCAAGCTACTCTCTCCCAGACTCCTGGGGTCAGAGCCAGACCCTGGTGCCCGGGGCGAGCGACCAACACCAGAGTCCTTCGTATCACCAAACGGATCATTTGGATTGGCAGGTCCACTGTCGTGATTGAGGTTCAGTCCCATCGGCTCGGAGAACACAGAGTCCGCACCATTATCGCCCGCTGTAGAAGACAAAATATTGGTTTTATCATCTGCTCAGTCGTTCTTTTTCTACTGGAATCTTCTAAGCAAACGTCTTCAAATGAAATATTTGTAGAAATAATAAAAACGAAACCCATTGTTTAAGTTGTTGATTGACTTTGAATTGTTTGTTTATTTTCCAAACACTCAGCCAATTAAAAAGGGGGCAATAACACAGGCATTTTAACAGCAGGAGGCTACTTTCTCCGCCAAGGGCCTCTTCATATGAGCCCGGTAACCGGGCTGGCTCGGTTACCGGGACGAATTTTGTTGTCTGTTCATATGGGAAATTTCAGCCTGGTCTACCGGGATAAAATCCAAGAAACACAACCAAAATGGTGGAACATAAACTTGTATCGTTCGCGGCTGTCGCAGCTTTGTAGACACTTGTAACTTTACTAATAAAGCTAATTCGCCCACTCCTAAAGTGGAAATACATACAAGGCAAAAATTATGTCATTTTAGCCGCTATGTTGCGAAAGCGAAGTTATTTCGTCTAAAAAGTTGCGTCCCGGTTACCCGGGCTGGAGTGTTCATATGGGAAAATTTTCATCCCGGTTACCGAGATCTCGGTCGCAAAACCCGAGATCTCGGTTACCGGGCCAGCCTGGCTTCTCACATGAACACATCGCGATTTTTACGAAGGAAAGAGTGGCCAGGCGAGATCCCGGAAACCGAGCCAGCCCGGTTGACCGGGCTCATACGAAGAGGCCCTAATACCCTGTCCACACTACGGCGGGGGGAATTTGAAAACGCAACACTCACCAGTCATTAAGGATTTGTGGTTGCGGAAAACTCAGTCAGAGAAACCACATGATTATCGGGATGGCACCGTTCCCGAAAAGCTTCGTTTTCAAAATGTTTCCTGTCCACACTTAAACCCCTTTCTACCTTAAACTCCTTACGAAACCGACTTTGTCACACAGACTAAAGAATGTACTAAAAACGACGAGGTAATGAACTCCGCACTTACATGACTGAGACTCAAGCGACCGTCCAGATGACCCACCACGTTTAACTGTTCGGGAACTAAGAACACGCTCTGTGAAAAAAAAAACAACGAAGGATGAGTTAATTTTGATGTGTTATCTTTATTCCAAATATTTAGCAATTATTGCACGAGGTTGACCAAAATGTCGTGATTTGTCAGTGGCGAGGAAAAATTGTACGACCAAAGAAAGCGTCTTGTTAAATTTTAAGTTTGAAACAGTTCAAATATTTTCAGTCACCTGCCACTATTAGAGAGTTCCAGTGTCTACAAGCCACACACGACAACACGTGGAGGGCGCCGAAAATAGGTCGCGGGACAGCCGTGCACGGGATTCCACCCTTAGCCCGGGCGAGGCTGTCAGTCAATACGCCAAGCCGACCATTGTCACCCCTTCCCCAAGAGTAGATCTGATTGTCTGTGGAAAAGAAGATGTAAAACATACATGTATTGGAAGATTACACATCACAAAGAAAATTTAACCACTAAAAAAAACCGAGAAGAAAAAAAGAGGTACAAAGCTGAGAAAATCGAAGGTTTAGTTCCCGATAAGGTGTTTTATTTTGCGTAGTCAGATATCATGTAAAGGATGGAGCGTTCATACCTGCAGTGGCCACCACAGTGAAGTCATCTCCGCACGCCGCTTGCACAATTCGTTTGCCGACCATTTCCCCACCGATGACACAAGGTCCCGTTCGGGATTTGAAGTCTCCTACCCCCAGCTGACCGAATTTGTTGGATCCCACTGTTATTAGGCGCCCATATGCTGCGAAAAAGTCAAATAAAATAGTTGAAATTACAGCATTGTGATTAAAGGCTTTGAATTTCCCGCGCAATTAACAACCAATCAGGGACATCACTAAGGATTTTTTCAGATTGAACGTCTCTTGAGCGGGAAAGAATCGAGAGCGCAGCAGGAAAGGCCTCAGTTCTGTAAGTCAATTTTACAACATTTTGGTTGTAAAGCTTAATTAAAAGTATCATTAAACCCTAGTTCAAACTCAGCTTTGACACTTACCATCTATTACAGCTGAGTGCGATCTACCAGCGGATACAGACGCGATACTGTATCTGAAAAACACAAAACACCCACACATGAAAGGGAGACAAAAAAAAAACAAAAAAAACAAAAAAAAAAATGAAAAGAAAAGAAAAACGCAAGGCAACCATATTGCTTAATTCAATTACAGAAAGAAAATTGACCTTCTCCCAAAGGACATTATTAAGCCCAGGTCAAACGTCAAACTTCACATGAGACGAACGAAATTGCAACTTGAGTCCATACAAACGGGTAAAGCTCGACTGTTGGGTCAAACGTCGAAATTAATTCGAAATTAGATGGACCAACACGTTTCATCCGTCTGCTTCAGTCAAACGTCGAGCTTACCATGAACTTAATCCGCTCAGTTTAGTTCGTCTCGTGCGAAGTTCCACGTTTGACCTGGGCCTTTAATACCAGCATTCAAATACAGATCGAATAGCAACTATTTGCTGATGATCAACCCATTCTTAATCGCCCTTTTCCCCACCCTCCTTGAGGAAGAGATGGCTCACGTGATGGGGAAAGGACCATATAAGGATTACTCGTTCCATGAGGCTAGGAAGTTGAAAGAGAAGCTAACAATGTGTACTCACTTGTTAAGCGGCATCACAGGTTTGGGAAGAGTGACGTACGGAAAATGGCCTGTGGTAGACTAAGAGCAAAACAGAAAGTAATATTACAGACTGAAGAGCAATATTGATGTAAGTCAGATTAACATGTTAAAGGAGCTCAGTCACGGTTTGCGCATATTGAAAAGTTTAGCCTCAATTTTTCAAATTCGTCGTTTGTAATCCGTGTTAATCTTCTCCATCCTTAGCCATCTTTGTTCCTTTATGGTTTATCATTATCTCTTTGGTGTTTTTCTATCTTGTTAAACTGTTACTTTTAGGTTTCCTACCATTTAAAGGTAATTTTGTATGTGGCCAAAATAACTCAAAATACCGTGACTGAGCCCTTTAAATACTGGCTCAAGGAGTAGTTACTCAACATCAAAATGAAAGAAAACCAAAACCAAGGGTACTTACCATTTACATGGGAAAACCGGAAATTCCAGTTAGAAAATCAAATGGTTCGCGACTTTCCGTTTGGGAAGCTTCAGAAAATATGGGCTGTGATTTGAGGTGATGCTATTTTTCTGCTCTTTTAAGTCTCTCGAATTGATGTGGATATACTTTATAGCGATTCCTTCTCACACAACGTCGCACGCAATTGTTTAATCTTTATGCCTGAAATTTCCAACCGGATGGTTTTTGTAAATGGTAAGCACACCAAAAAAGAGGAATCGATCCCAAAATGAACGTCAAACAAATTCAGTCATCAGTATACCTTAACTTGTCTTTTCCTCAGTGACTGGGGTGTGTCAATTCCTAGTTGATTTTCATCGTTGTTGCCAAAACCCATCAGTCGTCCAGTTGATGTCAGCAAGAAGGTGAAGTCAGAACCACAGCAAACTGATACCACCTTACACTGCAATGGAACATCAACCTGGAACAGAACGAATCATTTCAGTCACTCTTGTACACGTAGCCTATTTTAACTCGCGGATAGTTTCCGTTGATACATAGCTCGGGAGATTTCCTTATTCAATGAGAGCCATTTTATCGCCAGTATCAAAAAATCGCTTTATGAAGAGGCCAATCACACACGACTACACAGATCCTAGTAGTTCGTTGGGGGTCTCGAACAAGAAATTGTGCACTAATTCGCAGACGGAATTTACACGGAAATTTCTGTCTGTAACGCTGGCTACTATACTATACATGCTGCAAAGATATGAAACGCAAAACAAAACTTTCCGGTATGGCGGCTGCGATATAGCTGAAGCAAGTATGCCGGTCCACGCATGGGATCATATTCAAGGGAGCGTGATACTGGAGGGTTTTTAGGAGACTAACTTTCATGAAGGCGTATTTTCAGAAGTTAATGGTATTTTGCAAAGACACTGTTATCCGCAGATTACTAGTGGATTAAACAGAAGATCTGGACATGCTTCAGAGTATGGTGCTCTATATTGCAAATACCATTAGCCTGCGAGCAGGCTGCTCTTCGCGGGAAAAATGACGGAGGAGAGAGAGGCGAAACCCGCAAAGAACCTGAGTTCGTAACGAACCTGCTGGCAGGCTAAAACTACCACGGCCTCCACAGCTCCTTGGAGGACGTTCCCTAAGTCACACAATATCCCGTCCACCGATCGACACGTTATAACTGCCAATCTTGAACCTTGCAGCTTGGAAAAAACGTTTCGGTAAAATAGCTAGATTGTAGGTTGACAGCGTCAGTATCACCACAAAACGACATCAGCGTAGTGAGGTGCAACTCTTACCTTCTGAGGGGCAGCACAATCGTCTTCATTTCCCAGGCCCAAACGACCTAAAAAGACAAAATACTGTCCAAAATGCATTTCCACTCAATAAAACAAGAAATTTCTATTTACAGCTTCAAGTAATAAATCAAACACGAAAGATCGTATTTGACCACATTTCCAAACACCGAGAAGAGAGTTGAAAATACGACGTGTAGCGGAGTATTTTTGTCGAAATTCGAGGTGTTTGGAAATGTGGTCAAACACTGTCTTGAGTGTTTGATGTATCTGCTCTATCGAAACTAAAACTAAGGAGAAAACGGAGAAAAAAAAGCGTAAAAATCTATGCTACTTAAGATCAGAGATCCAACACTCTCACGGTCAAGATTTCCTTTGTCTAAACTTGATGAATTATTAATGAGTTTGACAAAGACTATTGAAAAATCATACACTGCAATGAAAATGATTTTTAAAAATAGCTTCTTCTTTTTCAAAACATCTTATTGGAAACAGAAAGCTGAACAAATTCCAAAATTTCATATCAGCAGGCTTACCATACTCTCCACAGCCCCAAGAATACACTTCCATTGAAACTGTATGAAGAAAGAGAAAAAGAACTGAGGTTTAGACGAACAGACAGCAAAGTGTGAAGCATTATATGCACGTCTAGGTTTTGCTTAGTAAAGTTTTCACGTCAAGACCTATTTGGTCACAGTGAAACATATAATAATGTTCTCCGTTGAAAAGCAGAACATCTAGCAATTTACGAGACTAGTCTAGACACGAAAAAAGCGACGTGTTGTGACTACACCATCGGTTCACCCCAAAACGTTTCGCACTGAAGCGGTAGTGTTCCTGCAAAAAGGATAACTTAACTTGAATGGAAACCATGAGCTTACAAAACTAATGCAAGGGCAGATGGATTTGCTTTGCAGAAGAACAAGGCCCCGTTTGGGGCAGCTGCTTTTAGCCAGCGTCCATACTACGCCAGAGAAATCTGAAAACGCAGTTTTATTTCTACGGTTGTGACTGGCGTCCACACTGATCCGTCACGAAAACAGAGCTTTTCGAAACCGCTCTTCAAACCGAAAGAATTTGAAAACGCCGACTTTGCGTTTTCGTGAGTACGGAAAACATTTTGAAAACGGAGCTTTCCGGAAACGATGGCGTCGCGAGAATCATGTGATTTCCCTGACCGAGGTTTCCTCAAACACAAATCCAAAATTCTCTCGACCAATTAGGAACGGTAACGAAACCAATCGTGAACTGGATTTGTGGATTGCTACGTGCGCGGTTTTAATAGTAAGCCCTGATTGGCTTGTTGCACTATTCGACTACGTTGTGGTAAGTCAGATAGAGCGGTTTTCAGTTGAGCATCGTAAAACCAAAACCAAACCAATAACTTACCAATTAGACTACTCAGCCAATCTCAAACCGTAGTAAAACCAAAACCAAAACCAAAGTAATTGCCTGATTACTTTCGAGTATCAATTGTAAACCGCTCTATGGTCAGCTTTCTTCAGCTGCAGACACTTGAAATAACTCTAGTCTAAATGAAGCCGTTAAAACGAAACAGCAGGAAGCTAAACCAACCTGTAAGAGCCACAATATGGCACTCCCCACACGCCACTTGTGACACAGGGTTTTCAGCAAAGAATTCCACTCTGTAAGGCGTGGCAACTTCCTCGTCCAACTCATTGTTACAACCAATGCAACCCCAGTAGTCTGACCCAAATGTGTACAAGACACCTTCCTCTGGTCGAAAATAAAGATATATCAACATCGAAATTATCTACACCACCTTAGATATTTATATTTCCTATATTTTCCGGCTCGGAGAATTAGGTGTTGGATGAAGACTTTACTTCTGGCTTGTGGATTTGATCCGCCTCTATCATCCAGTCTCGGTCAGAGACGCCATTTGGATGTAATTTATAAGACACGAGAGACCAAGTTTCAACACATTTCCAAACACTGAGAAGATTTGTTGATGGCCGAATTTACACTAGAGCCAGATCATTCGATGCTGAATTTGTTTCAGGCGACGAGTTATCCTTCTGAGACGATTTATTCGTCTGAGACGGATAAACGGTCTACACCATGACGCGACTGCCTCAACAACAACAGTTTATTTCTACTACTGTAAAACTACTGTAAACAACTAAAAGAATATGTGACACAAGCTATGATTGGCAAATCTGCGGAAAGGAATGCAGATCGGGTTAAAGCAACTGTAAGTGGGGAGAAGCGTTGCGTGACGAACGCAAATAACGGCTTCGAAGGGGAAAGAAGAACAAAAAGTCATCTCATGTGGAATTTCTACCTGTAACACATGCAGTAAACTCATCTCCACAGGCCACTTGTTTTATGGCGATTCCATGCATTGCCTCAACTGGTTTAGGAATGCGATAAGCTGCAGTGTCACCATGTCCCAGCTGACCCACCATCTGTTTACCACCATGAGCATTCTGGAAAAATCAAACAAATAATATAAACTTCAGAATGTACAGTACCAGCTCTAGGGAATACACCCAGAGGACTCTTTGAACAAGAAGCACTTTGAACTCAACCACACAATACCTGGAAGTTGAATCACGTTTTCGGCTAATGCCAGAGAGCTTAATCAAACCACGAAGGCGATGGCAACGAGAACGCCACCAAACAAAAGGTATAATAAGTAGAACAATGGCTGTGCAAGTGCGCTATAAATCTTTGTTCATTTCTCTGCCGTCCTCTGGAAAATAACAACGTGAAATGACTAAGTTCCGCGTATTTTGTAGAATGAGAACGACGGCCGCTAATTTTTCGTATTTTCGTTTGGAATTGAACACTGGCGTTATATATTTAGCTTGAGCAAGTTCTGAGGCCAATAGGTTCACAATCGCGAAATTCAAAGGTAAAAGTAAATCCATTTTTTTAGTAGGCGTCGTCCTCTGGGTCACCCTTCTCATTGCTTAAGCTATCTACTAACATCCTGTACAGTGTCTGAAATAAAAATTTACTTTGTACTTACAGCCCAAGTAAAGAGTTCATTTTCTACAGTGACAACAGCAAAATGGGACTGACCAACAGCAAGCTGAAATTACAAGAACGACATCATTACAGGGTGAAAAGCAGTACTGTGCGAGTACGTTCAGAGTATTATTGAATGGCTGAGAAGATGCAAAGCTCGTAAGAGATGCGGCTAGAAACATCTGAAAGTGCTGTTCCCACTGAATGCACAGTAAATTCAACCAAACCTGCATGAGAAACTAAAGATGGTCCTTCTTAACGCACTTCATTTTGATTACAGTTAAAGAAAACTGAGACAACCAATCAGAGAAGTTACACAAAAGTCAGTTAGGCTGTGTCATCAGTATGGAAGTATTTGAGTTGAAATTATACATGTAGCTGGTAGTCTCTCTAAAATGGGAAGACTGAACATATGAAGGGATACGTAGAATCATTAATATTATTCAGTTAGGCTTATTTTAACACGATGAAGGGCTAATGCATAAAACGTCTGCTTCACAACTGTTTCACCCAACTGACCCTGCTCAACACTTTCTTAAGAAACTTTAATGGCTTTGTACATGTAATTTCAACATATGTAATGAATACCTGTAAAGCAGAATGTCCTCCCTGGAACATGTCCACTTTATGTGGTGTTTGTTTACCACCTCCCCAGTAAAATACCTGTTATAAATTAACACAAATATAAGCAATCAAAAAGCAGGGATGATGCAACTGGACTAGCGGTATTCTGCTTTATCATTGGACTGCAATGGATCCAAAGGACTACTGTTACATATTCCTTTTTGGAAATAATCCTTGTTTATGATGCTAACTAGAGTTATACATGTAATATGGTGGTAGAGTACTACTACCTAATTGTTATAAATAAAACCTTTGCCATAATGCATCACTAATTGATTTTATTAGTGAAAGAAGTGAATGACATGCAAACATTGTTTGCTGCTTTCAGTCTCAATATCGGGCTACCTAAAGCTCTACATTAACAACAGAAGGATTGTTTATCACTGATGTGAATGTAACATTCTCACCTCACTGGTTTTGGATGTAATCACAGGCACAACTTCAGTCAAGCCACTGGCAAGTCTGAAAAAAAGGAACATGTTTCCCAATGTTTTGGTTCAAAATATGAAGCCCTCCTTTGGGTTCTGCACTAACTATGGACTGTATTTTAGAAGTCGTTAGGAAATATTTACTAAGTTAGCTACATGTATCTACAAAAAACTAGTTTTTACATAAACACATGACACTTATAAAATAAGTCTGCGTTACACTAACCTGGCCCTCCTGGTTGTAGCATTCAATTCCCAAACTTTCTTTTCCATCTCTCTTTGAACATTGGAAAGAAAAGATACCTTAAAGAGTAAGTATTAAAAAGTGGAAAACTAGTGTCATATAAGTACTTTTTTCCTTCAAGCATAATTTTTCCAGTGTGGTTTTATATACATATACACTCAGTGACTTATTTTAAGTACTGCAGGCTGTAATAACAAATTACACTTTTAATGTTAATTACCAAACTCAGTATTTTTCCAAAACGTAGTGACTTACCTTCCTAAATTGCTCAACAGTGGCATGGCCAGAACTGCATCAACTGTTGGCCTGTCATCTGGATTCTAGTGTTAACATTGTTTTACTATTAACAACAATTTTATATTCGATTTTTCAGTAGTATGATCTATATAGCACATGTTCATAATTATATTAATCAAACATGAACCTAAGGCATTAAGTAAAATATAATGGCTCCCAATAAAATTTCATATAATTGTTCTTACAAAGCAGTGGTCTGGTTTTATGGAGTAAAAGATGTTGATCCATTAAAAACTGAGACTGGTGTTTCTCCAAAGTGCAACGGGCCACAATATTTTGATGCTTACTTAGCTTACAGTTTCCACATGCATAATGTCAACAATATATTATTATTACATTTCCACATTTGAGGTTTTTAACTTTATACTGGGCTGGCCTTTTTTGTTACCTGTGACAACAGTATTGTTACCAGGCTGCTCATCTCACTTGTGTACTGTGGGCTGATATCTTCAAATTCTCCCTTTACTATGTCAGAAACTAGTCTAAGAGGATTCTAAAGAATAGAGAGAGTAGTATGTGGTCTCACTGTTTTGATCTACACCAGAATTATACAAGATCAGATTAAGTCCAACAAATAATGTAGAATAACACTATGTTATAAAGTAGCCAAGCAAAGCAAGTTAGAAAACTAGAGGGAGGGAGTTAGTTCCTATAATAGCCTATAGGGGTAGGCTCCACCCAAAAGGGGCACCTTTTTCAGGCTTCAAGTATATAAAAGGGTAGGGATTTCACAAGTCGAGGTATACGAAAGGAGACGGAACTCTGTCATGTAGTTATTTCAAAGGGCCTTAAATTGAAGTACTTTGAACAGATGCACCTTATGGTGGATCATTTTTAAAAGCACTACATAAAAATAACAAGAGGACACTCACTTTTCTGGCAAATTATTCATAATACATCGGCCAGTTATGAAAGTGTTTGAAAGGGGTACATTTTTACTAAGACATATCCAAAAGGGATACCTTTTCAAAATGGCATACAAAAGGGTAAGGGGTTGGGCTCATGGGTGGAGCCATATTTATCCGTGTTGAGTACCACCCCCCCCCCCCTGGAGGGGGGAGGGGTCAGAAACCATATGCACATGGAACTTAAGAGACATTTTACTTACAGTGGCATCAAACACTTTTCTCAAGGTGAGCATTTCGTACAAGACACATCCCATTGCCCACATGTCGCTCTTCTGGTTGTACCTATATGGAGTGGACATGTATTTCTTAAAAACCAGCGAGGGCTGTACCACAGCAGATTATCACACATGGATCAATTTGACATGAAACTGATAGTTACAGAAATGAAATGGTAAGATGACAAATCGAACAGAATGGAAATAAATAGATGGGCGTTGCCTTTTTTCAGGGTACGTACATGTACAACCTCAAACAGTACCCAGGTTACCTAAGGCTGCTGCTCAGCCTTGCTAATTTCTGCACATGCAAGGTTCCAACAATTTATTTATTAAAGACTGGGTTTTAAGTGGATTGTAAAAAGTACTAAGAAAAAGCAAACTACTTGCAGTATGAACCTACTTTTGTCCTTGAACTATTTCTGGTGACATGTAATATGGTGTTCCAACAACCTGACGAGGAGAAATATTATGTGTAGACAGTATAACTTCAATCTACATTTCTCTGGTCCTTCTATCTGGAACAATTTGGATGAAGAGATAAAAAGTTTATCTGCGCATTTATTTAAACAAACCTTGACTAAGCAATTTCTAAGTTCTTACCCTTAATGCTAGCTTACCGGTAGTATTTTTTTCTTTAAGTTACTATCGCTCTTAATTAAACAATGCTCTGTCTATAACTGGTACTGTTAATACTTACATTGTGTATTTCTTTTTATATTTATATCTATCTATATTTTTTTCTCTTTCTATCTCTTCTTTTCTTTATTTTTCCTACAACTGATTTCAAGCGTAATAATTCTTGTAACTACTCAGCTTGTTTAGTTTTCACTATTTTGAGTAGTTTTTTTTGCTTATTTAAGTTTAATGTATTCTTTTGCTGAGTGATATTCTCTGTATTTAATGCAAAATAAAATGGTTGACATTGTTGTTGTTGTTGTTGTTGTTAGATGTACAGGTAGCACAAAGAGGGTGATCTAATATAAAATATGAGACTTAGAAAGAAAATTTCCTTCTTTTATTATTCTTCTGGTTTAATGTTGTTATGCTTGAATTACGTAGTGTACAAGTACTAATTAAGAAGTTCTCGACTGGCACTTTGAAATCTTATGTTTAGACTTGATTAATAATCAAAAGAGTATAAGAATGACACTATTTACAATGAACATCAGTCAGAGATTATACACTGTACATGTACATGTACTTACAGATTCTGCCATATATTCTCTTGAACCTTTCAACACAGTTGCAATACCAAAGTCTCCAAGCTTTACTAAGCCAGTTTTAGTCAAGAATATGTTTAGGGTTTTTATGTCTCTGAAAAGGGCAGACAAAAATGAGAGGCTTGCTGCAAAATGCAATTACTTTTATTAATAAGAGTAAATGCCCATGCTGCCAATGAGGGTTGGATGCCCAAGAGCCTGGCAGGGCAGGTACCACCGACACAAATATGGGTCAGTACAACACCATATATTAGCTTGCCTACCAGTACCCCAGCCATGAGCCCCACATGACAAACCCATCCTCAGCCTAAGCACCCATCACAATGATACTAAAGTTCAGTGAAAAAATTACAAACAGAAGGGAAATAACTTTGAGAACTGACAAACTAACTAAAAAGATACTTTACTAAAGCTAAAGGGAGAGGGAGGGAAAAAAAAGAAAAATGAAAGTCTCGAACACTACAAATGCTAAGCAGATTAAAACAATGACAAACCACATACAGTACCTGTGAACTATACCACACTCATGAATGTGACTCATACCGGAACATATTTGGAAAAAATACCAGATCACAATCTGCAAACAACAAAGATCAGCCATAGCAAGATACTTTTATTAATTCATTAATCTGTAACTTGAGAGTGATTTTGCGAAAAACGTCATCTTTTATTAACAGTGGCCAAATAGAGGTGGTGTTGTGAAAGTTAAGGGCAAAACTCATTGCTATCTACCCAAAGTACCTCTCTAAGCATCATAAGACAACTTGGCAAGAAGAAAAATGATTATCATAAATACCTCTTCTGCAAATAGTTCTTTTTGACCGCATATCTTGTCATTGAGCGTTCCACCTGAAATTTAATATTAATATAACATAATTTTGTAAGGTTAGGAGGCAGGATGAGAAATATTCAGCCCTCTAAGCATTTAAGGGTGGCCCTAAACCTAAAACTGCCCTTGATTAGCCTAATCAAATTGAAAAGTGCTTCCCAGTTTTCTGGATTGTCCAATAAAAGGTCAGAGAATTAAGTAATACGTACAGTAACACAATACTGTAAGGTTTGACAATGTACATGTCATATGATGGGCGATCACAGAAATCTTCCAGAAAAACAAGATGCTTAAAAATCAGCATACAGATAATTTACTCATCTGTAACTTACTAAACTCTATGCAGAAAGAGGCCTGACCTGAAAATTCTCTTTCAATAGACTTGATAGAAAAATGGCTGTCATTTTATTCTGTTACCTAGCCACTTTTGAATTGGTAATAAAACATTATTGCAAGCGCTTAATCTTCAAGATTGTAATATAAACATACCATTGCAATATTCCATTTCAATCAGCAGTGATGTACCATCAATGTAATGATTAAAGTATGTCACAATATTGGTGTGATTCAACAAGGACAGGATATCAACTTCTTTCTCAGCATCGATTCTTTCCTTCTCACTTGCACGACTTAAGTTCACTTCCTTAACAACCACAAGGACATTGTCCTGAATGAAGTAGCAAAAAAATAATTTAAAAACAACTCATAACTGTTCTTAACATCAAATTAAAATCATTTCTTTTTATTTTAAAAATATTTAGTATAGATATTTGAAATATTTGTACATATTAAAAAATATATATTTATAAAAATTAAAAATATTTAGTATAAATATTTAAATATAGTACTTAAAAGTACTGTACATGTATGTATTTTTAAAACAAGTAATAAGTTAGCAACAAGATTGATGTGCACTATATATACTGTTTTTTTGGAGCAGGGTAACCACATGTAAAGTTTAAATTTCGGGGTTTTTCCTCATTAATCTCCATGTTGAGCCAGATTAACTTTTTCAAAGCATTAATTTAGTTTTCATAAGAGAACTTAACATTCTACTGACATTGATTTCATACATTCTGCTTTTCGATGATAGAGATGATCGAATTATTATATAATTTCATGTTTCTTTCTTGGCAACCTATTCTTGGTGCCAGGAAGCTTTATTGAGGGTTGGTGCTAGTTTTAATTTAAGAAAAGCAGTATTCATGTATATGTACATCGTCATTTGTTTCCAACTGATCACGGGCTGATTCATTTTAACTTGAGGAATTTGGATTTCTAGATGCTTAGTAACAGTAATTGGACTGAGTGAACTACAATTCAGTGAGTAATTCGGCCTTGCGAAGCGCGAGGTCGATTTGAAATTACGAGCATGATTACATGTACTCCTTGAATTGTACGACACGAGGTCCAATTACTAATTAATCGTATCTATAACAAATTTCGCAATTAAAAATGTCTTTTGAGAACTTCGTTTGAGCGAAAATGTCTGTAACGTTTTTCATAAGCTTTGAAAACTGTAGAAAACATTGCAAAGGAAGCCATTAAAGCGCTCGTAATTGATGTGTGAATCACGTGGTATCCCGTTACGGGTATCCAATCACAAAAAGTTGAAATTGGATACCTGTAATTGGACACTCACATGTTTGCGTGCTGATTATGCCACAAATAGGCACAGGGAGAACCAATCACGCTTGAGAATTTTGTTATAGATACGATTAATGTGACTATATAATTTGATTCTTTAAGGTTGAAAAGATCATTCAACTGGCCAATTACCCAAATTTTCATTTTGTTAACTTATTGCAAAATCTTATATTATTTGGACAAATGAAGGGGTTCGTGGAAAAAAGCCATAAGTGACTCTTGATCTCACATCAAATTCTCCTTTTTTGTACAAGGAAGCGATTTTTTTTGGAAATTTGCTTGGAGAATCTTGTAATCCATCAGATACCACTTAGGGTCTTTCTCCATGCATCCCTTCAAATATTATCACATGCATGATTTTAGACCAAATTGCACTCCAAGTCAGTTCAATTATCATTATGAACTAAAGATTACATGCTTAATTTCTTCAGAGCAGTGTGATACAGATCTGCCATCTTGTTCTGCATGATCATTGCCAAATAAGAGTGACCTGATACAGTGGCCCATAACTTTAGAATGTGACTACAGTGGAACCTCGATATTACAAAGGGTGAAAGGACTGGCAAAATATGTACGCTACAGCGAGGTTTTGTTGTATCAAGGTACTTTTCCTTACATTTTACTATTGCTAGGGTGAAGAATATCATTTGTTATACCAAGGACTTTGTCATATAGAGGTTCGCTAAATCGAGGTTCCACTGTATTAATTTTATGATCTCCAAAATTGCGATAATTTTGAATTGCAGCTTTGTCATGCAACCAAACCCATTCATGGTACAGCTAAAATTATAAAAAATATTGTCCATTCAATTTTAGTTACTGTTTTCTGTGATTGATGAGCTTAAATTTGTCATGATTATGATTTATTTCATCCATCTGGCTAACAAAACATCAAAACTACGAGGGGAAATAAGACATGTTTCGGCCTTGAGAGGAAGCTTGGTATCTGTTGCACATTTTTAAATAAAAGTAAAATAATATTTTTGTGGCCGGACGATCGCGAACAAAAATTCTCTAAAATAGCATGCATGTTTTTCCATAAGGAATATTTTTTCTAGGAAGAAGTCAACTGAAATAAGAGGGTCAAACCACCATTTTGACAAATGTAGCTACAGCTGTGGTCATTATAAATGATTAACGACGAGAATTTTCAACCAGGGAATAACTTTTCCCGCAATCAAAAACAATTCCAAATTATCAATAATCTTAAACACCATTTCCATAATGATAATTTCAGCAGCAGTCGTAACTTGCTGAGAAATAAATTCAAGCTTATGGCAACCGAAACGTGATTTACATGTACAACAAATTGTTGGAGAGATAACTACAAAAAATCAAAATGGTAAAGCTTAGTTGACGTTTTCTAGGAGCCCACAACATCGTGTGCACCATATTCGATTTCTCGAGCAGCTGCCGTCAGCTTCAATGGATAACTCACCTCCGTTTTTCGATATAACACCGCTTCACCAAAAGCTCCCCTTCCTAGAGTTCGAATCCTGGTATAAGGTTCTTCCGATGCTCTGCCATCGTTAAAAGAATCGTCCGCCATTATGTAAGCGGAAGGAACTCATTAATCAAGTTCTTGGCACATAATTTAATTCCGAACGGGAGGGGACGCATTAGGAGTCATCTTCCTCGCGAAATTCCCGCGCGCACTCTCGTGCTCAAAGATATCCACGAAACGGTCAGTTTGAGAACTGATCGATCATTTTAAAAAGTGTTTGTTATACGAATGCTATCAAACAACAAAGGAATAATTCTTTTGCGTACTTGTACTACTGCAAGCCCGCAGGCCAAAGCCAATTGGGTGTAAACATGAGCATGTGGTGTATACGGTAAGCGGTATTTGCTCCAAAGGACACTACATTATCACGACATGACGCACTGATTTCCGTGTTTTGAATCAAATATGGCGGCCGAACAAGAAGCCGCGTTGCGAATGACTCAAGCTGTTGAAACGGCGTTAAATCCGTCAACAGCGCAGAAACAGAGGATAGAAGCTTATGAGGTATAGATTTTTCAAAGGTATTTTCATATTGAGAACGAGTAAATACTAATCTAAAAGAAAAAGAAAGCAGTATTTCCCCACCTCTTTAATTTAATAATAAGTGTCGCTTGCGCATAACTAGAGCCCCATAAGGTGATATAATCAGGTGGTTTCAGTTTGTAGTCTCGGACATTGGTTTGCACATCAGATTTTAATCCTGTATAGTTTATCAGCTCTGTCAGTAGTGACAATTAGCGAGATTTCCCTCGAGAATCGTTGGCAAAAACTGGTCCATTTCGTTTTCTAACTTTCGTCAATGTTTTTTGTACAAACAAAAGCAGGTCATTAGAAATCTTTTGTTAATGATCACCAATATGGCAACGGCAGTGTCACATGAAAACCAAGAAATAATTTATTACAAAAAATGCTAAGCTTGATGCTTGTTCTTTTGTGTGTTATGCAGTTCATCGAGCAGTTCAAAGCCAGCTCTCCATTATGTGTTGCTGTGGGGCTATTGATGCACGATCGTCAAAACTCTGCTGTGGTACGCCATACCGGACTTCAGCTGTTGGAGCACGCTGTCAAGTAATGTGGATTCTGAGGATTGTTTTCTTTCTAGATAATTATTTAACATGCTAAAACCAAGCTCGGCATCTAAATTCTCATCATCATCATCATCTTTATTATGTTGGTATTTAAGCTGATGATTTAGGCTTCACATCAACTGTTAAACCAACAGAAAAGCAAACATATAAAAGACCCAACACGAAATGAAATCCAAGCCTATCTAATGTAAGAATCTTATTATTTCCAGACATACTCTTTAATTATCTTGGAAAGAATTCAGTTTAAGATCTACATGTCTCTTTAATAATTGAGCTCAAGGACTCTACTGTAAAATATTTCCTGTAAATTTATGAGCCATACTGTGCAAAAATTATCAAAACGAAATGAAGATCCATGTTTCACTGACAGTAATAGGTCATGACCGAGAAAATGAGATTAAGAAGATGTTTACTATGTATGTACATGCAATAGATGGATTCCGCTGATGTGTTTGCATCCTGGTTGCCAGGTGATGATTCATTTGGGAGGTAAAATTGTTCTGTTTGTTAATACAAAAACATGCAATCAGTTGCATGTGGCAAGTTGCACAATTTGGTAACCCCTAAATGAATCATCACATGGTCTGAATTGGGTGGCAACAAGGATATAAACACCTTAGCCAAATCCATCTGTTGAACACTATGGAGAAAGAAAATTTGTTTACAGGAAGAGCATGTTCATGTAAGCTTGACCAATCCCAGCATGTGTGCCATCTGAGAGATATTAATAACTACAAACCCCACTAGTCTATTTGAGAGACAATAATTGGCTTGCCTTTTATACCTGAAAGGATTTTTCATATAGAATGCATACAGCAAGTACAATGTAGACACTACAGTGTGTCATCAGTTTTTGAGGCGCCAGTAGGCGCATAAGGCCGTATGCACTGTATGTACCGTAGTTTAATTCAAATATTTATAAATTCACCAAAAGTTATTGAAGTGTTGATAAGATTTTTGAGACTTGAATGTTTTTATAACATAATATCTCTGTTATATAATAACAGGTTCAACTGGAACTCAATGAGCAGTGATGATCAAGCAAGATTGAAGGGAATCTCTCTTCACCTGCTTGCACAGGTACAGACTTCGAGAAATTAATTAAAGCCATTAGATTGTACCTTCATCATGATTTTTCATGTATACTTAAGGATGACTAGATGTGCTCGTTAGTTCTCCTCTCCTTTTTCGTTGTGTAGGGACACAACTAACAATATGCAAAGTGCTGGAATTCGTAGAAACATTTTTTACATGTAACTGGTTTGGAAATCAAATTTGAACCATAATTGATCAATGTCAATGACAATGTCAATTGCTTTGTGCAGGGAAGTGGCTCTTTGCCAGATGAACCTCTACACATCAAAGAAGCATTATCACGACTGATTGTTGAGATAACCAAGAGGGAATGGCCACAGAAATGGGGATCACTTCTTCCAGACCTTAATAGTATCTGTGCATTAGGGGTAAGCTGAGTTTTACTTACAAACTTAAGGCCTTGTGGTCATGTGGTTAACTTTTCTCATGAATCCTAAATTGTACTTGTTTCGCTGACCTTGTGACCTAAAGAAATGAGGACTCCGGGAACAAGAATGGAGTTCTGATGGTCAGCACTCTATGCTGTCAAGTTGTATACGTAGACCTGTGTTTAATACTCACTCTCATTAGCATTTAATTTTAGTTACAGTTGTAATGACGGCTTTGTACGTTTTATATCTATTCTTTGTCAGGATGTTCAAACTGAAGTGGTTCTAATGATTCTACTTCGACTTGCGGAAGATGTGATCTCAATGGACAGCAACCTGCAACCGACCAGGAAGAAACAGATCACACAGGAGTTACACACACATATGGACGGATTGTTTACCTTCTTTATCGAGACACTTCAGAAGAATACTGCAAAGTTTAGAACTCTAAAGGTGGTCCGACTGCATAATTGCTTCATTTATTAAACTTTGGTGATATTTTAGCAATACATTCAGTTAAACTCAAATATCCATAGCGATATTCTTCTATGCATTACTCCTGAACTGTACAACATGATTGTATGACTTTCTGACTAACTGTATGACTGACCACTTGACGATCTGACAAGTGAAATGGATCCCTTGTTTTGATGTGTGATTTTTTTTTAGAACAACCTTGTCGATATTTTAACTGCCAATTATTTATTCCCAACTTGATTTGATCACTGTTTGAATTTTTGTTATGCAATGTTTATCCACAGAGTGAGATACAAAGCGGAGATGTTAGCTGTCAAGCTCAGGTTAGTAATATGTTTTCTTAATTTTTGTTGTTGGGAAAAAAATAAGACTGTTAATAATGGACAACTGCAAGGGCTTACTGTATATCAAGTCACATGTACATGTAGTCAACCATTCTTCTCCTCAATACAAGAATTTCACAGGTTGCAAGAAAAACTTTCAATTTTCATTTCCATCTTTAATTTGTTCTCAGCCGTGAGAAGTTAACACTTTGGTAACGGAATACATGTACAGTGTATATGATTTTTGAAACATAATAGTCGTAAATTAGGCATGGCTTAAAAGCTCTGTCTAATATTTGAGTATTCTCCCTTCTTCCAGGCAGCAGTTCATCAGCGTCTAGCTGAGCAGACACTGTTAACACTGACTGGATACTTAGACTGGGTAAAGTTTGGAGTGCTGTATGTTCAGGATTGCATCATTCTACAGATGCTGTGCTTGTTACTAGAGGAAGATGCACTAAAAATACCAAGTTGTGAATGTCTTCTCATTATTGTTAGTAGAAAGGTAATTGAAATCAAAGTTATTTTCAGCCACATTTACGTAACAATTTTCATATAACACACTTAGGGCTCAAAAAAGGGTTGTCTGGTCATCCAGGACAAGTACATGTAGATTTTCCTGCTGGACGAGTAACTTTTCATTTTTACTTGCCTGAGGGGCAAGGGCCCAGGCAAGTCATCTGCCAATTATTAAGTATTTAAAAGAAGTAAACCAAGACTTGCCTAGGGCAAGCCAAACAAATCACTATTGAGTAATGAACTTTATATTATTGAGCTTTGAATCTATTTTACATACCTTAAAAATCTGCTAAATGTCTGCAGACTGCCATATTTACCCACATACATGTACCTGTGTAATACAGGCCTGTGTACACACACCCCAATAATTTTGAGGTTAATTCTTGTTATGAACCATGTGATAGGTCTACTGTAAATGCATCATGTGACTGAACATGCCCTAGCTAAATCTGGTAAATAACTGTCAGTGATATCCCCCAATTGTAAAAAGACCCTGCATGTTTCAAAAAATATTTGAAAGATGATAAACACAAGTAGCCTCCTTTTGACTATAAAAAATTATGTTCAGATATTTGTCCTTCAACATTATCTGTTACTTGAAGCTCACAGTTTTCCTTGAGCTTCATTTTCAGAAAACTGTTCACTTCTCAGAACAGGTAATGCCCACGCACTAATATCTTTGGAGCACATTTTCATGCCAAATGGAAGCAATTTTTTGTTTATATATGAATTTGCTTTTATTATTGAAAAACTACTAACAGCGTACACAGGGTATAGTACCTCTTGAAACTTTAATTTGTTCCAGGGAAAACATGAGCAGAGGACACCAATGTTGAAGCTCTTTAGTGAGGATGCCATGAGCGTTATGCTGTCCGCTGCCCAGTAAGTATGAAATAAGTAACCCAGTTAGTGAAGATACACATATAATTAAATTTTTCCAGCTCTGCTGTTGCTGTGTTGCAGTGCCATTACTTTGCTGCATCTTTTCCTGTGTATAATTTTGCAATATGTTTGTCACCTTGTGCCTTGATGAGTTTTTGTTTTGTCAATTTAGTAGGCCAATTTCAATACACAAAGGCTTAGGGAAACAAAACAAAAGAAACTGTATATTTATAAATTCATGTGTTATCCTGAACGTGATTTCTTTTGTGTTAGTCCCATAAGCCTTGGCACCTGTTAGGATCTTAAAGTATTGTTAAAAATTGTTATGACTTCTTTTTCTCTCTCTCTGTTATTTTATTAAATTAATATTACCAGTCAATCAATCAATCAATCAATCAATCAACCAACCAACCAACCAACCAATCTACTCTTATATCTAATTTTGTGCAGCAATTTTTCTTTGTGTACTCCATTGCTATAAGGTTGTGCGTGGTCCTTCTCAAGATAATAGGGGTGGTGAATGGGTATTGCGAGACTTTGTGAGTAGGCAAGACTTTCTTTGCGAGCCCAAGACATTTTTACTTCTTCATATGTGAGACCGAGAGGCATTTTAAATACAAGCTCAAGATGTTCAGGTTCTAAGACATTCAGACATCATCTATAAAAAAATAAAAACAAATTGTTACTTTGAGACTTTCTTATATCCTTGCAAAAAAAAATTGAGACTGCAAGATGCACATAACCACTAAAAAATGAGACAGCGAGACCCATGGTTTTTGAGGGACAATTTGCTACCCCTAGATATGGTGGGTGTAATCATGAAGAATGGTTTGAAACTGTTGTAAAAAACAAATTGGAGATGTATTAAAAGTATTGTCTTTTCTGTTGTCCTCCAGGAAATCTATTACAGCTGAATTTGATGAGAAGCAGTATCTTTTTCTGAAAAGGCTATGTCAAGTGCTTGTCAATCTAGGGGAAGTACAGCTATATTATTTATGGGTAAGAAGAGGAAAAGTTTGGAATCATTTTTTTCCTCAATATTAATATTTAAGATGATTTCTGCTGAACATATGAGCAATATATAATGGCAAAAATAAAGTTTCTAAAAACCCTCAAAGCATGGTTGTAGTAATTTGAATACAGTTAAGAAGAACTTATTGAGACTTAAGCTCTCAAGCTGACCCCATGAGAGAAAACTGTTATCCATATTTTAATTCAAATGGACATTTCAAATCAGTTCAAAACAGCAGGCTTATGAGGTTTCACATTAACTTTCTCGAGAATGCTTGAGAATATAATCACAGGGTCCCTCAGAGAAATGAATTAAAGTGACAGAGATATTTCAAATAGTAATTATTCAAACATTACCATGCCATGAGTATATTTTTAGTAATTTTTGTGCTTACCTGTATTGCTTGAATTTTGAGTGAATTCATCGTGATATTTAGTCAGCTGTGGTACATAATTAAAATGTTGTCTAAAATTGAATGATAAGCTGAAATAAATTAATGTTGATGATGATGATGATGATGAATAAATCTCTACACCTTTAAATGTAGTTTCTGATACATGTATTTATTATTAATTATTCTTCTCAAGCACTTTTCTGTTTGTTTAGAATGCTGACAAGCCTAAAGAAAGACCTCCAAACTTCAGACAGTATTTAGAAGCACTGATAGCATTCTCAAAGCATGAAAGCTTGGTATCTTAGTTAGGTTTTTCCTTCTTTGCACTGAGTGACCAAGGGTATAGCTACATATGCATAAAGCACAGACACAATTGTATTCTCTATAGATCATGCGATCATTAATACATGTAAAAGAATTAAGGATGACGTGGAAGTGGCTGAGAATGATTATTAATAAATAAATCAGAGTCTGAATTGCATAGTCCAGGTTTAACCAAAGCCGTGGTCATTGTCTTAACAAGATCTCCACCTTGACCAGGTTCTTTCGGTGCTGTTACACTAGGTTCCCATTGTTTGAGGTTTTAGAGTTCCATGTCTCCTTATTACAAGGTGTTCTACAAGCTATGTGCTAACACAAAGGAGATTATTTGCAGATATTAGTTATAAGAGAGATATGCTAGGACAGGGTGCAAAGAAAAAAAATCTTTGGGCTGAAAATCATTCACACTAGTCCCACCCCACCCCCCCCCCCAAAAAAATTGTCTCTTTGTCTCTGTAATATTAATTTCTTCAAAAGATTTTCCCGAGATACTATTTCATAATCCCTTCCCAAGTGACAGATAGAATTCAGTAGCCCATCTAGAAAATCCACCAGCCCCTGGCTATCAGACAGGACTTTCTTTACACACTGTAGGAGTGACATCAGTAATAATTACCCTGATCAATAAAATTTTAGAGTTGTTACAGTAGTGATTTTCTTTTGTTGTTATTTCCAGACTCTGCCACACTTGACAAATGGACTCTGGCTTTCATTGCTGAGAAATCCTGTTATCGCTATTGATGAAACATTTCAGGAAATATTTCCATCTCTTTTGGAGATAGCCAAAGCTAAACTTTACAAGGTACAAGTATTTGAGTGTGTGTATAATCAGTTACTGCATCATATCATTGCTTTCAAACAGACTGAATGAATGAATTGATTCATAACTTATTTGTGAGCAAGGTGTTGCATGCTACAGGGTGTTTGACACCACAGTGACAAAATTTCAAGAAATATGTACAGAATGTAATGATCATGTAAGGTAGAAGATAAAGTCTGCATATGAGCAAAGGGGCCGAACAGGCCGGAGCTTGTCCTGGTGTCTGTAGCATGAAAAGACTAGGAGTATTTGTACTTCCAACTGGATGGCATGCTAGTCCATCACAAGGTTACTCGCAGCATTATCTTTGCCAGTACCCATTTGTACACCTGAGTAGAGAATTAGGCACTGTGGGAGTAAAGTGCCCAAGAACACAACATAATGACCCCGGCCATGGCTCAAACCCAGACCACTTGATCCAAAGATGAGCGCACTAACCATGAGGTCACCATGCCTCCCACATGTGAGAGCGTGTACTAACAAGTAATCAACTAACTAAAGATAGTGAGGTGGCCATAATACAGCAGAGGGTGATTTCATTTTCATGAGACATGATATGTCACATAATTTTATTCCTATTCTTGTTAGGTTGGTGATCCAGAAGAGGAGGATTCACCAGGAAGTGTTTTTAACCGAGAAGACTTCAACAGTGAGAGAGAATTCACTTCTGTTAATGGCCGTAAGTGTTAAGAAAAAAATGTAGTTGAAAATGTCCTTGTGTTAAATGTAACTGGTAAAAGGTAGTTGTAAGGAAGAGCAAAGTCTACTCACAAAACAAGTCATACAACAGCCATGGATAGCATGTGGAAGGCATGGTGACCTCATGGTTAATGTGCCTGACTCAGGATCGAGTGGTCTGGGTTCGAACCCATGGGACATTGCGTTGTGTTCTTGGTTATGACATGTTACTCTCACAGTGCCTCTCTCCACCCAGGAGTATAAATTGGTGCTGGCGGGAGGGGGGGGGGGGNTTCATCCAGCATCTGTATATTTGTGAAGGCGCGGTAGTCTCATGGTTAGAGTGCTCGATCCGAGATTGTGATGTTCGGGTACGAGCCCTGCCCGGGGACATTGCGTTGTGTTCTTGGTTAAGACATGTTACTCTCACAGTGCCTCTCTCCACCCAGGAGTATAAATTGGTACCGGCGAATTGTTGGGGAAGTAGTCCTGTGATAGACAAGTTTTCCTGAACAGTGTTTCTTAAACCAGGCTATCTCTATCTAGAGTCCTGAGTGCTTTCAACCATCAATTTGTTCACTGTGCTTCCACAAGGAATCCAAAGACTTAAGAATGCATAAAGGTCTATATTTTCATAGGACTTAATTTTTGCTCTCTTCATGAGCATGCTATGCTCTTTGAGCAAATGGCAAGCATTAATGTCATGCTCTTTGAACAAAATGTTGAGCATAAAATTAATGTGACAGTCATGCTTTTTGAGCAAATGTTGAACATAAAATTAATATTATTAAAATAAAAAAAGGTGATTCCTCAATTGAGATAAAGTTTCTCATTCTGTTATAATCATGAGTCAGCCTGTATACAGTATATCTATAAACAATGAAACATTCTTCCTGCAGATATCATATATCAAAAACCACTTAACAGTGCACTGACCTTACCTGTATAATATTATGCTCAGGAACTAACTTAAGACAAGAGGTGTCTGCCTGTAGAGGTGTTTGATAATTGAGGTAGGCCTGAGAAGTATATAAAAGCCATCTTAATGTCCTATTTCAGAGGTGCGAGGGGAAACCATGGACATCATTCGTCAAATAACAATGATACATCCTGTTGATACTTTCCTGTATGGAGCCGACTGGTTGTTACAGCGGGCCACACAAACCCCAGCAGCTGATGTGCAACGTATGTTACTTTGTAATAAAATTTATCTGTGATGTATTAAGTACAATAATTTTGTACACCTAGAAGTCAGTGATAAAAATGTTTTAAGCCTTTATTTGTACTGTCATTAGATACTCTACAATGGGTTTCCTAACAACACAAGGGTAATGAGGAATAATAATAATAATAATAATAATAATAATAATAATAATAAATAAATATTTATATAGCGCCTATCCATGCCTGCTCTAGGCGCTGTACAATTCGCCAAAATGATGAGGAAAGTGTACATGTTAAATTATATTCCTAAACAGTGTTGGAAATTGGCTTGCACCTTAAGTTTTCAAATGTTCTTAACAGACTGCATGTAGTATCTAAATGTAAAATTTATCTCATTTATTGAAAAACAAATGCAATCCAATGGTAAAATGAAATTGTTTGATTATCATAGTGAACTTAGTCAAGTGCTAAAGAGAGTTGAGTTCCCTCAAAAAAATTAAAAGCCACATGTACCAGCCTATAGGCTTTGGGAAAGGGTGCAGAAGGCTTTTTAAGTAGCAATCTGGTGGCAAGGGAGGCTCATTATTAAAACTTTGCTGATCTAAGGATATAATACCAGTATAACCTTAGTAGTGGTAAGACATGTAACTCCAGGTCCCTCCTGTTACCATGGCTCTGAATTTGTTAACATGATACAAACCCCCACTCCCCCCCTCCAAAAAAAAAAAAAAAAAAAAAAACTAACCAGAAAAAGCGTGGCTGTTTCCAGGGCAGATTTTATTCCCTCTTGATGTACAACGACAAGATTTTTGCTCCCGTACAAAAACTCATGCTTGTAAGTATCATGTATAAAAGCTTGTAACACAAGTATGCACTGCAGACCTATATTTTTTTCAGTCAGTGCAGCTGAAACAGAGAAGATGATACATGAGTGGGATGGGCTTACTCGCTACTTGGATTCAGTGATGTCCAGATTTTTTAAAGTGGATAATTACGAGGTTAGTTAAAGGGAAATGAAGTGCTGCAAACTTGAAAGGTGCTAAGATTTACTTTGCAAGGTCAATGGCCCATTTACCCAGCCCGTTTTATGAAGCTCGAATAGGCGTACAAGTTTTTGTAGAGCGTTACACCTCTATACGTTTATCACTGATCACTCTCTAGCGTGTACATATACAAATACATTTGTACAAAACATGTGTATTTGTGATGGTTTAATTTCTAACTTATGTGATGATGTTGAAAAGGTTTGTCTTGTCTTGTTCACTTGTCACACATAGGAGATCATTCAAGGCCAGGTGACATTTCGAGAATTACCCGTGGCATTTGTTGAACTGGTCAGGAAATGCATCCAGTCAACTTTAGCAGTTGACTCAAAGGTAGGAGCAAGCACTGTGTTTAGACTAGTTGCAAGCCTTTCCCTTTAACTCTTGTCTGTTTGGGTACGTTATTTAGAAAAAATTTCGGATGTTTAAGCTTGGACTCTTTGTATCTCAGACACTTTGCTGAAACATAGCTAAGAAACGTAAATTCATGGCTATAAAATCCATTTAGAATGAAACAACATCTGTGAAAATGTTAGCTTTACTGCACCCTCAAGGTTTTACAGATACACCGACAAAAAAAGAAAAAAATTGATATATATTTATTACTTTTTATTACTGATATTGACTTTTTTCTATAAAAATAGTCAAAATCAAGATTTGGTGACTATCAAGCCATTACGTATCTCATTTAGAGTTCGCTCTATGAAGGAAACTAGCAGCTCTGGAGCTATTTAAAAGTTTCATACTGTACTGTAAATATTTCGGACACTTATAAAAATTTGGACGCTTAAAAATTTTGGACTTTTTAATTTTTTCAGACACTTTTTTTGTCTGAAATTAAAATCGTGTGAAATTTTTTGCAAGTAATATACAGTGTCTATTTGTTGACATAGTCAGCTCTGGATTACAAGACCAGCTTCTCAACCACTCTGTCTTGCTGCCTCCTTTTACATTTCATGGTCAAAGGTCATTGAAAATAATTTTTCAACAGGTCCCCGATGTGTTGTCTAGTGTGGCTGATGCTACTCAAGCCCTCTATCCTTTCCTTACATACAACAAAGACTTGGTGATGGATGTCCTTAAAAAGGTAACTAACTTAATGCAAATTCACCCCCAAAATTTCTGCTTACAATAATTATTTCTATATACTGTCAATCAGTCAGGTGAGGAGAAAATTGAAAAGATCAACTAAGGGACATGAGTATGTTATCTTGATGAACCTTTAACTTCTCAACATTAACAAAAAATCCAGTCAGAGTGTTCAGTTAGGACTAGTAATTTTGAAGTTGGGATGGACGGTTTTGGGTAAATATGTGACTTTCTTAAAAAGCGCCCTACAAATACTGTGGCTCAGCACTTCAAACCTATTCTTTTTTTGTTATTGTAGAAACAATCTCGACTGGTAGTGATTCTCAAAGGGCCCTGTGTGTCAGACAGCATAGCATGCAGAAATGTTTGCCAAGTTAACCAAATAATATTAATAATTTAATCTATTTTTGTTCTATGCTTTGTTGATCACAAATCATTTACTCTTTTTCTTGTGTAGATGTTTCAAGTGATTCTGTTTAATACAACTGGTGATCCAAAGGTATGCACAATGATTAATAAAAGTCGGCTATGTGGGTTGTTGATCAAGCATGTGGCAAGATGGCAGAATTTTTTACCAATAACTAATAAGTAATAATTTTTTGTGTGTGTTTATCCACCAAGACGTAGCCAAGGACCATGAACACATGCAAAAAAGAATTTAAGGTTAATTTCCAGCCACCTGGTTGCATTAGTTAGTTAAGGTTTATGGGCGAATCTTTACTTTGTGCAGAGAAGGCTTCATGTTAGACACAAATTGGCTACAAACATTTACACGTAAAGGGCTTCTGGAACTTAGTAATGGGTGAAATGTGTGGGTCTTTGGGTGTAATATTCAAGGAGAAATTGGCGTTCAAAAACTGCAAAATTTCTAGATGGCAAAAGCACTAAATAAATGAGCTCATACATTCTTTGTAAAATTTTGAGTTTTTAAACCCATTTTGGGCTCAAATTCCTCGGGACAGTTAATTGTGCTGTGCACCTTCAATATTCAGAACTAATGTTTTTGTAGCTCCATCAGAAACTGTATTGCTTATGCTAATAAGGTAAATATTTTAGACAAAGGTTCTTCCATTATGTGGTATAAAGACCACCATTTTTTGCAGGACACAGTGGACACTCCTAAGCAGGAAAGAAGATAGCTGCATCTTTCCTGCTCAGGTGGCCAATCACTGTTAAGTATCTAGTGACCATGTGTTAATTATTTTTTTCTATAGGGTCCCTGGAGTCCTGATGTTCTCCACGCCCGTCGGCATGCATGTGCTGCAGTCATAAAAATTTGCAAAGGTTTTGGAGAGCTACTTGTGGTAAGACTTGGCTTATTAAACTAGTAAACCATTTGGCTTCCTAAATGGTCAAGGTTATCGCCATTGTCAACAACAACAACACCGCTGTGGCCAGTGTCACCACACATATGTAGCTGGAACATTTTACAAGCTTAGTATTAAAATAATTAATTATTAATCATTTGTTTACAGTTTGTTTGTTTGTTTCTTTCAGCCAGTGTTTGATGCCCTAAAGCAGCATGTTCAGTCCTTGTTTGTAGGAGAGCTAGTTCCTGTGAAAGACAGATGCACTTTAACTGAAGCATTAGTCATTGCCAGGTTATAATAATGTCTTTCTATGTACAGCATTTAAAGCTTAGAATCTACAATGTTCACATTCTGTGTAACTGCTCCAGACCTTAAACCAGGTCGACAAAAAGCTAAAAGTTCTTTATCTCTGTCAGCAAAACTGTTGGGAGGAGGTAGTTTAACTGTTATTTAAGAGATTGAGTAAAGCATTCAAAAACTACTCTTGCTAGGTGTAAGCTAAGTTGCGCTTTTACACTGTTAAAATGAAGCGTTTGCTTGTGTTGTTTTAATTTCAGCAATAAGCTAAGTAGAGAAAAACAGAATGAATTTCTGATTGAGCTGTTGACTCCCATCAGAGACATCTGGCTTAGTGACAAAATGCAAGGGTAAGTGAGTGATCTGTATTATCACAAAAGGTTTTTTTTTAAAGAAATGTGATCATTTTTATCGTCTTATACTTTATCTTAGGGCAATCTCATCTCCAGAAAATTTTCTTTCATTCATTGGAATGGACCAGGATACAGCTTCTTACTTTCAAAATGGTTTGGAAATGACAGTTTTGTTTTTAAATTTTGTTATTGTATTTTAGAGCAATGTAAACTTAATTTTTGTTATGAGAGTCTGCACAACCTTTGTGACAAGCATTGTGACAAAGGCAATACTTTTATGCCAACACTACATTACAAACTATTTTACAAAAGCTGGGTTATAATAAACAATTAGATTATGATCACGTGATAGAAATCGAGAGCAAATTAATAATCTAATTGTTTTAGTCTTTAAATCTACTAGTCGTTCAAAACTTTATCCAGGGGGCCACAAGAATCTGGCTTCATTAACTGCGGCTGTATTTAGGCATTCCTTAAATAAAGCAATCACTGACTGACCTTTTGTTCAGGTTAGACGAAAATGGCTGTATTAACAAGCTGACTGTAGTAATGGGTGGTTGTAAGGCATGGTGGGATTGTACTTAATTTTGCAGATTAAGTTAGATACACGGTCACATAGTTTTAAAATGTTTTGACTTTTTAATAATTACTGTTCATTTTATAATAAACATTTCAGCTGAGTTGAAAGGAAGGAGATTTCAAGTAAGTGAGCTGTTAAATGTAATAAAAATCTAATACGCCACACTGATAATGCAAAGAAAAGTCTTTTTTGTACAGTGGAGCTGAATTGTGGAAATTGATCAATGTTTATTTTATATTGTTGGTACAAGCGGTCAGTCTCGATTTAATTGATTTTTATCCAGGTCATGTTGTGTGTCACCACTATAATGGCCGTTGTTCGAAGCTGTGCTTTACTCAATACCCAGGTGGGTTAATGCTTGCAGTTTGATCCTATTGATTACATGAGCAAAGTTTTGTAACTAAATACCAGAGCTGGGTTGTTCGAAAGCCGGTTAATGCTAATCCGGGATTAAAAGTGAACCGAAGTAACAATTTTCCTCCACAGAAATGTTTTTCACTACTTATGTTTTGTGTAGTTTGAGATTACACAAGCGAAAAAGTGAAGGACAAACAATATAAACAGAAAACTTCATCGAAAATGTACAAAAATGAAATCAAAATTCTCGCTAATCCTGGGTTAGGGTAATCGGGTTTTTGAACAACCCGGCTCAGGCTAGCAGAAACATCTGTGAAACAATTTCAGAGTGTGATTAGTCAGTGTTTTGTCAGCATGCTTTTGTAAGAATTTACAGTTCGATTCGTTGCTAAATTGACATCAATAGAACCTGCATTATTTTGGTTCCAAGGGGTAGCACAGGTTTACCAACCTTCTCTTATACTTTCGAATAAACGGGCATTGCTTAGCTGGTTCTCTTCACAAGATGGCAAAATAGAATGGTGCTACAGCCCCCCCCCTCCGGGGGGGGGGGCGAACTCCCACATAAAAAGGACAGGGGTGCTCGTCGGAAATTTTGAAAAGAACTCTTATGAGGTACCAAGATCTTGTTTTGTGGGTGTGGCTTGAAATTTTTCACCCCTAAGAGGTACGAATTCTAGAACAACACATTAACTCCTGTCATATTTTTTTTCGGCTCAACACCCTGAAAGGTACTGCAAAAGCTCCCACTGTGGAGGGGGTACCAAATCTGCGTTTTAGCCCCTAAAAGGCATTACAAGCACCCCCGTCCTTTTTATATCAGAGTCCCTATTCGTAGATGATACGACTGGCGCTAGTTGTTAAGGTGGCGCAATAGGGTTTTTTGGCCGCGCGAAGAATGGGTATGAAAAATGNCCCCCCCCGCCCCCAAACAGCACTGCACGATAGTAATAAAAAGAGGGACGATTAGAACTGTTCTACCTCTTCCCTAGTCCTTATGTTATTTTCAATTGTTACACGTATGTAAGACCAGAAGCATATCGCCATATATGCTTCTGGTATAACTGAATGATCTCTCTAAAGGTACACTCCAGTTACGTATGATTTTAATCAAGATGTATTTCTTCGAAGGTTGTTACAAGTTTTACTTTGATATTATTGTTGGCTTGCATTTGATAAATAGATTTAGAACATGAGGAGTAAGTGATTGATTTTTCCAAGATTCTTGTTGATGGAAGTCTGTTGTAAACTGGTTATAACTTGTTTCTGTGCAGACGGCGACCAGTGAGGGGCTGTCCATTGGGTCGATGCCCAATGGGACTCCTTATGTGCACAACCCGTGTGCACCCCATGTCTTGCCATTACTCGGCAATATTACGGTGTTAGCAAAGTAAGTACTGCAGCTACCTTTGTTTATTAGACTTCCACTCACTCTGGGAGGCATATAGGGGCAGTGGACTCCGGATCGAGTGGTCTGGTTTCGAGCACTGGTGGGTGGGATCTTTGTGTTATACCTCTCATGACGCAGGGGTAGACAGGGGGATCGGCCGATTGTCAGGGCGACCAGACATGATGCCGTGGGATTGAGTATGTTACACTTGCATGTCATCCAAGGGAGTAGGAGGATGCAGTAGTGCCTGTAAAAAGGTTTCGTTTTACTTTAAACTTCCCAATCTCGTGAGTGCTTTTTATATCAGAGTTGCGTAATTAAAGGTGCTTATTCTTTGATCTTAAGTCCGAACCATTCTGTGATTGAGAAATTGAGAAGTAAACATACATGGCATACAGAAGTTTACTACATTACTTGCAAAAAATTTCGGTCGATTCGGATAAGATTGAGTGTCCGAAGTTTAAAGCGTCCGAAATATTTACGGTACCGCATAAAAGTTTTGATTAGCCCCCAAACTCTTCCTTTATTTTATGGAGCGAACTCTAGTTGACACACTGCGTAACGACGTGATAGAATTTGTGTTATTTTCTCATTGGTGTATCTGTGTATGGTTTGGGTGAAACAATGCAGTCATGGTTTCTAAAATAAAGATTTTTGCTTTGACATATTACATCTGTATGTTTGGAATCTTTATTTCTCAGGTGCCTGAACAGTCTGTATGATCCTGTAGTAAAATCAGCCATGACTCCTGCTTACACCGCAGCCCTTGACATGCATGATCTTGATACAAGCGCAATTTATGGTATGAATTACATGTATCAAACATCACGGTCAAAGTTATAAAAGCATAATCTCCTAAAATACTATAATAAAGAATGGTCAAATAGTTGTCAAAAAATAGTTCGTGGCGAGTCTAACGCGCCGTTTCGCCCCATTCAATAGACTCTTCAGGGACCTGCCAGAATTTGCCGTTTTAGAGTTGTGGTTTGCTTAAGGTCCCTCGTATTACAGGACAAGGCGTGGTTAAGCCGTCTATATTTGTTCAAATAAGATAAATGCTGTCTCTTCTTATTTCTTTTCCAGTGCTGCCTTACGAAAGGGTCAAAAGTGAAGTGCCAACTGTCCAAAACCCTCTTGCAGCAACAAGAAGCTTTTTATATCACTTATCTGACACATGGTGAGGATGGAAGTAGGGGAAACATTGTCCCTAAGCAGTTAATTGCTGGCCCCACAGGAAACACCAAGTTCTGTTTCTTCACGACTCTCATTATTCCTGCGCTAGTTAACCTTTCGAATAAAAGCTTTGGGTTGGAACCCTGGAGGGTATTTCCCAAGTAAGAGCGATTTAAGGCTCGGCTAATCAAAATGGTTAAAATCTATGTTCTGTCTCGGGACCAAATCGTTTTGGTCCGAGACAGAGGAAAGATTTTAACCATTTTGATTTGAAATAAGATCTGTTTTACACTCTGGCCTGGAATTTAATGTTTTGTTTAGATGAGACCTGTTTTTGTTTTCCCTGATAAAACTCGAGGAAATTGAAGTTATGCAAATGCTTCAGCCATTCCTGATTAGCCGAGCCTTAAAGACTTACTAATTTTAGAGGTAAATTGGCTATCAGTGTTCGGGTTAAGGCTGAATGAGGGTTACGAAAATCACATATTTTGGTCTGAAATGGGTAAGAGTCGCAAGAAATGTCCAGCACCCCACCACCAAAAATTTGAGTTACGTACTATAACTTAATATATCAAACACGCAAGGTCATGTTTGACCACAATTCCAAACACCGAGAAGAGAGTTGAAAATACGATGCGCAGCGGAATATTTTTGACGAAAGTCGAGGTGTTTGGAAATGTGGTCAAACACTGTCTTGAGTGTTTGATATATCTTCTCAATCGAAACTAAAACTAAGGAGAAAACGGAAAATTAAAATCGTGAAAATCTATGCTATCCAAGATCAGAGATCCAAACACTCTCACGGTCATGATTTCTTTTGTTTAAACTTGATGAATTATTCATAAGTTTGAGAAATTAGTCATTAACAAGGGACTCATCACAAGAACTCTTGAAACATCTGTGATCTGATTTACGTTGGATTTTATCTCTAATTTAGTTACCATGCACTGGGGTATTCAGCGTCTTGTCTTAGCCATGATTTCTACAGTATTCCTGACTTGTCGCGTCTTCTCGCGGACAATGTCATCAAGTCTCTACAGTATGTTCCAAACTATAGACTGAGGTTTGTTGTGCGTATCCTTTGAACTTCAGCAAGTCCAATTTACACCGACTGATATACGGTTCTCGATCCGTAACAGTTTGACAGATCGTAAAAGACAGTTTTCGGTCCGTATACGATCGGAAAATTGTATCTCATCAGGGGTACGTGGAATATAAATCACGTGTTATTTGAGTGAAGGGTGAAACGGTTTGTACAAATCCTGCAGCCTAACCACTGGGCCACACCACCAATACATCCACAATGCTGTTAAAAAAGTTTTTTTTTATTTACTGGTCATTAGAACCTAGGACCATGTAAAAAAAATAAAGTAAAAAAAAAAAAAAAAAAAAAAACTGGATATGTGTTTGACAGAACAGGTTAAAAGTTCTGATACTTATTTATGTTTATGTTATGCTTGTCTTTCTGTGTGTCCTTGATTTCCTTGACATAGCTCAGGTAATTTTTTAAAGTTGTTTATCCTGCACTGCCCCGAGTGTGACTATCAAGATGTAATGATACCTGTCTTGTCTCCATTCTTCTCATTCATGCTTCAGGTATGGTATCCACATCGAGCGAAGAGAGAAATTGTCGTCTTATGTTTGTTTGTTTTTTTGTTTTGGTTCGTTGTTCATCTCATTGTAACTTTACTCGCTTCTTCTGGAAATTGTAGGGTGCTTCTTTAACCAAACCAGGACGGTAGCGACAACGAGAACGTCTCTTAGTCCACACTACGCCGGAGAAATTTGTAAACGCAGCTTTAATTTTTTTTCTACGGTTAGGCCTACCGTCCACACTAATCCGTTTCGAAAACTGAGCTTTTCGAAAACGCTTTTCAAACCGGAGAAATTTGAAAACGCCGGCTTTGCGTTTTAGTGTGGACGGAAAACTTTCTGAAAACGAAGCTTTGAACCCCTTGAATGCCAACTACGCATACGCGTAATTAATGGTCGTGCTCTTTGTACCACTTTTGACGTCATCAATTTAAATGTCATCAGATATTCTTGATAAGCTGATGGTAGTGCTAGGCTAGCCCTTTCCGCACAATGGTCAGGTTTAAATATCGACGACATTCCGACGTCGCAAATCGAAAAACAACGTTATCAGTTTTGGTGCAAAAACGGTGGTAAAATGGTCCACAACGCCTATGATTGATCAAGGCCCATTTCTAGGCTTCCAAAATGACCGTTGGTTGTTGCGTTTTCAAATTTCTCCGGCAAAGTGTGAACGGAAAACATTTGATGCATTTTCAGAGAAAACACTGTTTTCAAAAAAAACAATTTTTTCCGGCATATTGTGGACGGGGCCTAAACAAAAGGTTTAAAGACTAAAGAGCGTTTTAAATCCTTGTACACGTACACTTCTTAGCCGTCCTTTGCACAGCAACAACGTGAAATGATCAAGTTCTGCGTATTTCGAAGAACTCGGCCACGATGGCTAATTTTTCGTTTTTTTGTGTGTGTGGAATTGATTGCTGCCATTGTGTATTGAGTTTGATCAGGTTTTTAGACCGGTCGGCGAAGTGAACAGATCCAGATAATGGCGAATTTCGAAGGTAAAACATAAATCCCTTTTTGACTAGGCGTCGCCCTTGGCGTCGCTGTCGTCGTTGCTAAAACTTCCTATTATTTCAGCCAAGAAATGTTTTTAGACTTGGTGCACATCGACAATTTGCTTGAGCCCTTACCTACCCGTCAGAGTGCTAACACAGTGGTAGTGTTGATAATATCAGAGTAATGTTTTTTGCCACTTCTCATTTTCTAGCACCTTGAAGAACAGTGGCAGATAGTCAGAAAACATCAAGCCGAGAGGTAATTATCACCTGAAGAATTTTGCAAGCACTGTGGTTTTTATGTCAAGATATATTCAGAATTGTACTGATAAGGCCTTTCTTGGGTTCCAGTTAACGTTAACTTAAAAATCATTCAAATGCTAGCAGCAAGTTTCCTATCGAGCTGCCTTCATAACGCACGAAATCCGGTCTCGGACAACCTTGTCATTTTTCAAAATTCCCGGAGGGCAATACCCCGAGAAGCTCCCAGCTATGGCGCTCTCCAAATCGCGCCAGTAGTTTTCTCACGCACCTTTCTCCCCCTCCCTTATATCAAAACGCGTGCCTACTGGCATGAGCTTACAATCTATCGGGGCTGGCTTACAATTTCGTGGGTGTAAGAAGTTAAAGGAAGGTACAGAGACCATACTCTTCCCAAAGCAAAATTTGAGGTGTCTGAAAATCAGACAGTATAGTTACTCTCGAGAAGAACGTAGCAAGATTTTATTTAGCTGGACCTTTTCAAATTCAAAGGTAGTGGGAAATTGTACTGAGTAATGAGCTTCTTTAAATCAACAGCACGGAAGCAGTAAATGAGGAGGATAATATGGAATCTAAAGAGATCATTGAAGATCAACTGGTTTCTATTATCAGTAAAGACTACTTGGATGTTTTCAGTAAGTTATTTGCTTTGCAGTTCTTCTAATAGGGACCTCTGCTTTCTAGCAGTATGAACACGAGATCAAGTTCAATTTAAATCTATTTAGGTTACCAGAACCTCACTCCTCCCTGTTTCGGACCGGTTAAACAGGGGACTGTCAGTTCGAGATTGCTCTGAAATGCAATAATCGAACTCATAAGCATTAGGTTAGAAAAGTCATACTTGTCTTCGATTTCGCCCTCGTACTCTGATTTAAAGGTTCTTAATACTAAAGAACCAAGACAAGATTTCCNAATTGTACTGATAAGGCCGTTCTTGAGTTCCAGTTAACGTTAACTTAAAAATCATTCAAATGCTAGCAGCTAGTTTCCTATCGAGCTGCCTTCGTAACGCACGAAATCCGGTCTCGGACAGCCTTATAATTTTTCAAAATTCCCTGAGGGGAATACCCCGACAAGCTCCCAGCTGTGGCGCTCGCCAAATCGCGCCAGCGGTGTTCTCACGCACCTTTCTCCCCCTGCCTTACATCAAAACGCGTGCCTACTGGCATGAGCTTACAAACTATTAGGGCTGGCTTACAATTTCGTGGGTGTAAGAAGTTAAAGGAAGGTACAGAGACAATACTCTTCCCAAAGCAAAATTTGAGGTGTCTGAAAATCAGAGAGTATAGTTACTCTCGAGAAGAACGTAGCAAGGTTTTATTTAGCTGGAGCTTTTCAAATTCGAAGGTAGTGGGAAATTGTACTGAGTAATGAGCTTCTTTAAATCAACAGCACGGAAGCAGTAAATGAGGAGGATAACATGGAATCTAAAGAGATCATTGAAGATCAGCTGGTTTCTATCATCAGTAAAGACTACTTGGATGTTTTCAGTAAGCATTTACTTTGCAGTTCTTTTAATAGGGACCTCTGCTATCCAACAAGCGCGAGTGGAATAATTGTTTCATTAACAGCGCCTCCAAAATATAGAAAACTAAACTAAAGTGAACATAAAAACGCCTCAAAAATCACTCGTACGCTTACCATATTTGTAGAGCATGGTATAATGATTCATAACCCATGGTGGCTAAGCCAATAAAAACTCTCGAATTGCATTATCCAATTCAGCTTTTCATGACTCGGTTTATACCATAGCATAGAAAATACAGCCAATCAGAATACAAGGAAGCCGTTGTACACTGGTCGGTATTACACCCAACTTTCCCATCGTGCGCTGTGCATGAATTGTATTGGCCTCTATATTTTCTATGGCATGGTATAAAATAGTTATTCAACACTTTCTCGTGGTATACCATGGAATATCCCACTTGTCACTTGTATTTCTAGGTATAGACACGGGCCTTTATGTGAGAGTTTATACCGAGAAAATACAAGTGGCTTGTGGGATATTCCATGGTATACCACGAGAGAGCATTGCGTAGCTAGTGTGTACTTTCAGGTAAATCCTTCGGACTAAACATTCAATAATTTCTTGGCAGTCGTCCGAAAAAGAGGGTTTAATCACTACATCAGTTTTTCCAGGTCGAGGCATTGATCATCACATGTACTAATTGTATTAAATGATTGCAATGAAAGATTTTACCACTGAAAACATAAGTATGTTCGTTGACTCGCTCCAGCTGGAAGATAACCTGTATCCAGGTCTCCTCACTCATCCAGAGTAAAAAAAGATCTGGGTACGATATTAGAGGATAGAGAATCATGGCGTTGTTGCTACGTCACGGTTTGCGTATCATCAAATTGGCCGTCGGTAATCCGTGTTAATCTTCTCCATCTTTAACCATCCTTGTTCCTTTATGGTTTTTTATTATCTCTTTGGTGTTTTTCTATCTTAGTAAGCTACTATTTTCAAGTGTCTTTCAATTTTAAGGTTTTTTTTACGTGGCTAACATAACTCAAAATGCCGTGTGTAGGTTTGGATCCGTACAATGCCAGATTGGGATCCCTGGGTTTGCTTCTTCTAAGAACAGAGGTGAGAATAAAAGCCATTTTAACAAAAGAAGACTGGTTCTGTTTAGTTGGTTTTACTGTGGTATCTGACTCTTATTGGGTGTCCTCTGTTGGTCTGAACTACCTTGTTACTCGAAACTTTCACATTTTCGCTTCAAAAAATCGCCAAAATTTTATTTCACAAAAAACACCGTGGCTTGTTCAGTAAAACAATGTTAAACAAACACTCCAAATTTGCGAAAGTTTAGCGAAAAATTTAGTTGTATCAGTTTACAGTTGCTTACTATTTGCAATGCAGGATCAACTGAGGCCAGTTGTTAATAGAACTTGACTTGGGTTTAGAACTAATATGTGTAGTTCTGAATTTCAGAGTGCAAACATGCAGATGCTGTGTACTGTTTTCGCCTGTATGACGTGGCCAGATTCAACTGTTTGCCATAA